TCTAGCGCATGAGACTGTCCTCTGGCACCACCGACTTGGCCACCCGTCTGTGCAGCGCCTTCGTGCCATGCACTCCCGGTACCTTGTCTCTGGTCTTCCTAGGGTTCTCCCTCCTCTCCCACCCTCGCCTACTCCTCCCTGCCTTCCCTGTGTCGAGGGGCGGCAGCGCGCCGCTCCTCACTCCTCCTCGTTTCCCCCGACGACTGCTCCTTTGCAGACGCTCCACATGGACGTGTGGGGCCCAGCCCGCGTCCGTGGTCAGGGTCAGGAGAGGTACTTCCTGATCGTTGTTGACAACTACTCGCGCTACACCACGGTCTTCCCCTTGCGCACCAAGGGTGAGGTCCCTGATGTTTTGATCCCTTGGATCCGCAGAGCTCGTCTCCAGCTCAGCGAGCGTTTCTGCTCGGACTTTCCTGTCCTGCGCTTGCACTCTGAAAGAGGTGGTGAGTTCTCCTCCGACCTCTTGGCAGCCTACTGTGCTGAGCACGGCATTGAGCAGTCGTTCATGCTTCAGGCCTCTCCACAGCAGAATGGGGTTGCGGAGCGCCGCATTGGCCTGGTCATGGAGGTCGCTCGTACCTCCTTGATCCATGCGGCTGCCCCCCATTTTCTGTGGCCGTTTGCGGTCCGGTACGCTGCGCATCAGCTCAACCTCTGGCCCGTGTCTCCTTGCCGGAGACCTCGCCCACACTGCTGTGGATGGGGGAGGTTGGCGATGCGTCGCGTTTCCGGGTCTGGGGATCTCGAGCTTTTGTTCGCGATTCGTCTGCGGACAAGCTCTCCTCTCGTGCTGTTCCCTGCGTCTTCCTCGGCTTTGTTCCGGACGCGCCTGGTTGGCCGTTTTACCACGCCACCTCGCGCCGGGTCTTGCCCTCTCAGGACGTCACTTTTGACGAGTCTGTCCCCTACTACCGCCTCTTCCCCTACCGCACTGCCCCGCTCCCACCCCCGCCTCTCTTCCTCGCGCCAGGTGCTGCTGTCGTAGACCCCCTCCCCCCTCAGGATGCCGCTCCCTCAGGTGTGTCTCAGGTAGACCCGGTCGAGCCTGTTGAGGTTGCTGTCGACTCTCGTCCTACTGGGGGTGCTGAGCCTGGGGGTGCGGACGCTGGGGGTGCTGAGCTTGGGGGTGCGGACACTGGGGGTGCTGAGCCAGGGGGTGCGGACTCTAGGGGTGCTGAGCCTGGGGGTGCGGACTCTAGGGGTGCTGAGCCTGGGGGTGCGGACACTGGGGGTGCTGAGCCTGGGGGTGCTGTGCAGGGGGGTGCTGAGCCTGGGGGTGCGGTGACTGGGGGTGCTGAGCCTGGCGGTGCTGCGCCAGGGGGTCCTACGCCTAGACGAGACCTCTCCTTGGAGCAGTTGCGTGAGTGGTACTTACAGTACTGCAGCCTCCGGAGAGGTACCTCTGGGACCAGGCGCGCTACGGAGACTGGTGCTGGCACTTCTCCTTCTAGTCGGGAGCTCCCCTCTCGTGAGCGGATCCGTGAGTGGTACGAGCGCCGTTGCACACTTCGTAGTGGCGCGCCTCGTCTCACGGACCCTGCTGCTGCTAGTGCTGCGGACCCGGGCGTTGGAGCTGCTGCTGGTGCTGCGAACCCGGGCGTTGGAGCTGCTGCTGGTGCTGAGGACCCGGGCGTTGGAGCTGCTGCGGGTGCTGAGGACCCGGGCGTTGGAGCTGCTGCTGGTACTGCGGACCCGGGCGTTGGAGCTGCTGCTGGTGCTGAGGACCCGGGCGTTGGAGCTGCTGCTGGTGCTGAGGACCCGAACGGTGGAGCTGCTGCTGGTACTGCGGACCCGGGCGTTGGAGCTGCTGCAGGTGCTGAGGACCCGGGCGTTGGAGCTGTGATTGGTGCTGAGGACCCTGGTGTTGGAGTCCGTGCTGGCGCTGCGGACTCGGGCGTTGGTACTGCCGCTGGGGGCACTGGTGCTGTCCCTGCTGTGTCTGGAGTCGCCGCGCGCCCTCAGCCGTACTTCGTTCCGCTCCTTCGGCAGGTTCTTGGTCTCTCGCCTCCTCCTGGTCCTCCCCCTCCTTTAGTGTGTCCACAGCCTGTTAAGTCACTGCCTGCTCCTTCTCCTTACTCTGGTCCTACTGGCGGTCTTATTGAGCGTCGTGAGCCTGCGTCTCGCCCTGCGTCGCCTGTCCGTCCTGCTAGCACTAGTGCTCGTAGTTCGCGTCCACGTCCCCCTTCTGCCCCTGGCACGCACCGGATGTCTCTGCGTCCTTCCACTGCTCCTCTGCGTGCCCCTTTGCCTTCTCCTCCTGCTTCCTCTCTTTCTGTTCTTGTCGACCCTACGTCGGACTCTCTTCGTGCTGCCAGTCCTACTGTCACACGTCTCCTTGCTACTGCCGTCACTGACCCTTCCTTCGAGTCTTCTGCTGCGTCTGCCCTAGTTGCTAAGCTCGTCGACTTTGCTGCTCGCTGTCGTCTAGACTACGCTGCTAGTCTTGTCGCTGAGTCTGAGTCTGTCTGTCCTCCGTCCGTCGGGGGTGCGTGTGCCCTTGGCACGGACGTCCTTGAGGACAGGCAGGAGGAGTTTCAGTGCTTGGCTGCCGCTTCACCTCATCTCGCGTCTGTACTACTAACCCCTGAGGGAGACCCGGATGCACTAGACATCTCGACTCCGCGCTCTTACGCGGAGGCGATAGAGGGTCCCTACTCCTCTCAGTGGCAGGCAGCTATGGATGCAGAGATGGCTTCCTGGAAGTCCACAGGCACCTACGTTGACGCTGTCCCCCCTCCTGGGGCGAACATCGTCAGTGGCATGTGGATCTTCAGGGTGAAGCGGCCGCCGGGTTCTCCGCCAGTCTTCAAGGCGCGTTACGTGGCTCGTGGCTTCAGTCAGCGGCAGGGAGTTGACTACTTTCAGACCTTCTCCCCCACCCCGAAGATGACCACTCTTCGGGTACTCCTGCACGTTGCTGCTCACCGGGACTACGAGCTTCACTCTCTCGACTTCAGCACTGCTTTCTTGCAGGGCAGCCTGCACGAGGAGATCTGGCTGCGTCGCCCACCTGGCTTCACTGGGTCTTTCCCTCCTGGTACCCAGTGGAGTCTCCGGCGTCCAGTCTACGGTCTCCGCCAGGCGCCACGTGAGTGGCACGACACACTGAGGACTACGCTGGCGGCACTTGGGTTTGCTCCTTCTACTGCCGACCCGTCGCTGTTTCTACGCACCGACACTTCTCTGCCGCCGTTCTACATCCTCGTGTACGTCGACGACTTGGTCTTTGCCACTGCTGACACTGCTGGACTCACCTACGTGAAGTCCGAGCTGCAGAAGAGACACACGTGCACTGACCTGGGTGAACTGCGCAGCTACCTTGGCTTGCAGATCACCCGGGACAGAGCACGCCGCACCATTACCCTGACTTAGTCACACATGGTGCAGCAGGTCCTTCAGCGCTTCGGCTTCACGTACTCCTCGCCTCAAGCCACTCCTCTGTCTACTCGCCACTCGCTCTCAGCTCTGCCTTCGGATGAGTCCGTAGAGTCGAGTGGCCCGTACCCAGAGCTTGTTGGCTGTCTCATGTACCTGATGACCTGCACACGACCTGACCTTGCATACCCTCTTAGCATTCTTGCGCGCTATGTTGCTCCTGGGAGACACAGACCAGAGCACATGGCTGCAGCGAAGAGGGTGTTGCGCTACTTGTGCAGTACGTCGGGCATGGGACTAGTGCTTGGAGGGCGGAGTTCAGTTGTCCTCATTGGTCACGCGGACGCTTCTTGGGCTGACGACCAGGCTACGCAGCGGTCGTCACAGGGTTACACCTTCAGCCTTGGTTCCGGCTCTGTTTCATGGCGGGCTACTCGCTCGTCTTCTGTTCTCGGCTCCAGTTGTGAGGCTGAGATCTACGCAGGGGCCATGGCTGCTCAGGAGCTTCGCTGGCTCACCTACCTGCTGACCGACCTTGGAGAGCAGCCTCGTTCTCCTCCAGTCCTGTACGTCGACAACAAGGCCATGCTGGCCTTGTGTTTAGAGCAGAGACTGGAGCACATAACAAAGCACATTGCTCTCCGCTACTTCCTTGCTCGTGAGCTACAGCAGCGTGGTCAGTTGCGACTTGCGTACGTGGCCTCTGAGGCCAACACTGCTGATGTTTTCACCAAGGCACTTGCGCCTTGTGATCATCAGCGCTGCTGTACCCAGCTGGGTCTTGTGTCTGTCTTGCCTCACTTGCTCTCCTCTTGACCCTCTTTGTACTGTTACATATATATATATCACTGCTCTTGCTTGTTTAGTCTTATATATATATATACATATATGTACTCCTGCATGTGAACTGGCCTTGTGGCCTTCAACTTGTGCTCGGATTGTGTGGTGACATTGTGATCCACCCTGAGCTTGCTTTGCTTTACTTGACTGGTCTTGTGACCCCTAGTTCTCCCCCACTTCGCCTATGGGGGTGTGTCAAACATTATATATATTTTTGTAGCTGTTTAGGCTACAGTGGGTTAGCCTATAGGGGGTACACACTTCTAGGTTTCCATATTTGTACTCGTTTCATTCTTAGTCATTTCATTCCTTGTTCAACAGGGCCTACACCTAGTGAAATGTTACACTACACAAAGTAATGTAACTATCTTCAATATCTTGAGGTGTACCCTTTTGGCGAGCTTCGAAATAACTTGAGGCTTGACACCAAGGCTCGGGCTCTTCATCACAAACTCATCCTTGAGTTCTTGATGGGTCTGCTGCACACACCTGCGACACACCGAACGTTCGACACACGACAAAATAGAAACCGCGCACGACAAAAATAGAAACCGCGCGCGAGACACAAACGACCGCGTAACACGCGTCTAGCGATAACTCGCTATTCACTCGACACACACACTCGACATCATGACTCAACATTCACACACAATTATAAGCATGAAATATATATTATCCCATGCCCTCATACCATTCCATACACACACACACATGCACGCACACGGACAACAAGACGAGTGCAAACCGTAGGGTTGCACCGACAGAACTATGTCTCTGGAAGCATGCACTACAAAGCTTGGGCCTGTAAAATTCTGGCACCCGAGAGAAGCAACGGAATGCCTAAAGAGGAGCAGGTGATCTACGAGGACGAGATCGGTAGGGAGATCGGCGACGATATGGGGCCGAGATGGAGGGAGGCGCTGCGTAACGAGGAGCACCTGCATGGGCCGAAAATAACGAAATGGCGCTTGCGCGCGTACGTCGAATACATGTCGACTGAAACCGGCCAACAGGCGGCATCGTTGGATACAGGCCGGACCAGAGTCGCTGGAAGGAAGGCGAAAAAAAGCACCCCTCCGATGATGCTGGCGCGCCTTACTGCACTAACGTGCTTCTGCAGAGTAGAGGCCATACTCTTCAACGAGCCACTAACGAAACCCTTGGACGACATCACCGAGGCCCGGCAGCTTCTTGCGGTCAAGCTGCGGCAGCTGCACGACTTTCAGTTCGAGTAAGTAGGCTGCCATACACCAGACTCTAAAACTTTTCACTCAAATTCTCACCCAAGTACTCACTGTATCCACCCACTCAATGCAGGCAGTGCGTCGATCCACACCGGGGCTCGCTCGACGATGTTTACACGCAGGAGCAGTTCCGCATTCTCGTTTCAGACATCCTGCCGTACTGGGCCAAGGAGTAATTTCGGGAGCCGATGAGTTACCCCAGTCAGTCGCTGTGGAGGGCCTTGGCGGTGAGGGTGATGATCCTGATGGCGCATCACATGCTGGGCAGGGGGATAAGCATCCGCGAGATCCGCTACTGCAATATGTTCACTCACGTCCTTCCGCCCATCACGAACAGCAAGGGGGAATCGTCGATCCACGTTCTCGTGGTCGCCTATTGCAACTCGAAGACCATCAAAGACAACAAGCTCGACCACCTGTACCTGACTCGACACATGGACTTCCGGCAGTGCGGCTTCGGAGCAGTGTTCATGTGGATACAATTCATTTTCGACCTTCTGCCGCTCCACTACAACAACGATAAGATCGTGTCCCCCTTGGATTTCAGCAACTCGGAAAATTGGTCAAGGAAGCACCTGTTCTTGGCCCTCTTCGACAAGGACAAGACCGAGTTGCCGTACGCGACTCATGCCAAATGGGTTACCTGGGTGATGAAAAGCGCGGAGTGGATCCTGTCGAAAGTCACACATATCTTTCGACAGTCTGCGGCACAGATCCTCGCCGACAAAAACTGTGAACTCGACAACATCGCGCAGCTGGGTCAATGGGACATGAATGAGATGCGCAGGTCATACGTCACAGGCATCCCGCGCGGGGCCATCCAGCTGCAAGCGGGTTTCACGACGGAATCGGGTGACTATTACCTTGGAAGATCGAAGAGCGAAGTACCCGCGAAGGTCCTGAAGGCTATCGAGGAGCACATATTTCCAAAGGCGGAGCACTGGCTCGACGAGGTATGGATGCGTCGAGCGCTTAGCGTGATCATCGAATGCAAGTTTTGCCCGTCTATCTCTCAATGTCACCACGCTTGTTCTTGTTCAGGCGATGGAATGGAATAACGAGCAGGACAAGGAGCATATGTTCTTCGCAGCGAAAAGTTTCTTGAAGGCCCTGCAAGCCGCCCGAATGCCCATCGCCGAGGATCTTGCGATGTACTACGTCCATTGTGACGACCACCCCTTCGACGGAGTGACTGTTTGCGACTGCGAGCGTCACCCTTATGCACAGATGTCCGGTTTGTGCAAGGACATGGATTTCCAAAAATGGGCGCTTGACGTGTACCTGCTCGACAAGTACGGCATCAAGATGCGGACCAACCCCACGCTTTCGAGAGCTTAGGTAAGATGTCCCTTCTAAATCTTAATCCGAACAGATTGCATCAGCCCACTTACCTACTACTCGTGATCTTGTGCGCAGGACGCATCCTTTCAACTCAACACCAAGCACCTCATCACGCAACTTTGGGCAGAGGTTAACTTACACAAGGAGGAGGGTGGGAAAAAAGAAATCAAGATCAAGGGCCTCGGGCAGAAGGTCGAGTCATTGGAGCGGGAGAATGGCGCGATGCAAGCGGAGTTGGAGGCGAAGGCAGAAGCACTCGCGCTACTACAGAAAGCGTTCGACGCACTGAAGATTACCGCCGCGACAACCGCAGCTGCGAATGTGGGGGGGAGCGAGAGTGTGCCGCAGACGGCGACCGAAGAAACCACCCCGCCACCACAGCAACCCCCTCAATCAACGCCCACTCAACAGAGCAAGGGCAGCCAGCTCGACCAAGCATTCTTCGACGCAGTGGTGTGGCCATGGTGCAATTGCGAGACCGTGCGGCAGGCGTGGTCGTACTGGGACGGGCCAAGCCCGCTGAACAACGGACACAGTCTTCGACACGCTTACAGGAGGGGTTTCGCCGTCAAGTTCAGCAAGTTCACTTCGACTCCTCTCACCGTTCCCCCCGTTGCGGTGGACCAGCCAAAAGAAAAGCCACCGACCCCAAAAGCTGTCGAGTCGAAATTGCGGAAGATGGAGGTTGTCATGAGGGCCGTCGAGATGTTCACGGTCGACGACAGCAGCGCGGCTACGTCGACGATCATTGATAAGCTTGACTCAATAGTCACGAACCACTCGATCAACATGCTGGCTGAAGGGCTCGTTCTCAAAGAGGATTCGGGGAAGCAGCTCACGAAGAAGCGCAAAGTCGAGATAGCAGAAGACAACCGGAAGGACAAAGATCGCCTCAGGATCACGCGGGAGCTCATTCGCGTCGAGCTTCGAACCACGAAATGGGCCGAGAACGTGTTCAAAGACAAATGGAAAGAGTTCATGAAAACATTGGGCGAGAGCCCAAGTTCGACAGGCAATCGTGACGAGGGGGGAAACTAGAGTAGGGTGTTCTTTCAGAGATTGCATGGCAGGTTCTCATTACTAACCGACCATCTCACCTGTATGAACCTTCTGAGCATTATCGCAAACGGAAAGTCAAGATCCATGCAACATGTACATTCTGTCGATTAAACTTTGGAAACAACAAACACAACTGTCGAGAATAGCAAACACCCCCACGCAAAGTGCCCGCCTAGACTACTCCCCTTGCCCGCCCGTTTCCGTCTCAGCTGCATCCTCGTCGCCCTGCTTCGCCTTGCTCTTTTCTTCTGGCATAGCCAGGCTGCCATAGCCCGCGTCCTCCAGCAAGCGGGCAGCAGCTCGACAGCAGCACCATTGCGTACAGACCTGTGCTGCCACGCGCAGCATCTGCAGCAGTATGGCGTCCGTCGAGCCGAGACCTTCGACAACCGACGAATACAGGTGATCGGGCCACTGCTTCGCCGGGAACGTCTTGCCGACGTGCAAAAGTATGGACACGAGTGCGGACATGGCAGCCACACAAGCCTTCTTTGCACTCTCCGGGGCGTAGATCGCCGCGTTTGCGGCAGCTAGGGCATCCTTCTTAATATCCTCCCTCGACAACTTCCTGCAGGCCGCCCACAAGCTCGCCACAGTTGCTGCGATGGCCATCATGTGCGGTGTCGCCGCCATGCCCTTCGGGACCGGGTAAATCAGATTCTCGTGCTTCAGGCCAAGCCGCGCGACCTTACCAATTGCCACGCACAGCGCAATTCCCCTCTTGGTTCCAGCTTTCACTTCCTTTTTTGCCGTCGCCAACAGCGACAGGTAACTGCACATCGCAAGAAATGCGTTTGTCAAGAGGCCAGAATTCGACCGACAGCACATTCACCGCAAAACAGCAGGTGTTCGACAATTCACCAAAACAGCATGAATTCGACAGTAGAGTCTAGCAACATGACTTCGACAGGACTTACTCGTCGAAACGACATTCCCCTTGTTCTTGCGCCACACTCCAAACGCCGGTTGGCATTTCTGCGGCCACATCGGGGTAGACCTTCTAGTCCTCCTCATCCTGCGCCGTGTACCCTTCGTACTCCGTAAGGACAACGTCGGGGAAGTACACGCGCCAGCAGACGGCCGTACAGAACTTCTGGTCCTTCTCTGTTTCAAAAGTGCCAAGGAACCGCTTCCTCCCGCCGACGGTCTACTTGGAAACCGGCTTCCCCTTCCGCAACCCGAAACCCGGTCCTTTGAAGGGACGTTTGCAGCCTCTCGTCTTGCCTTGGTCGTCCAGTCGAGGAGGTGGGGTGTGACCCGTGACCCTGGCCTTCTTCGCCTTTTCCTGTCGAGCAGCAACGACAATAGAGGTCTTCTCGACAGGCGCCTGACCAGGGACGCTGGCCAGCTCCACCACGTCAAGGCTCTCTGTCGCGTGTGCAGCGCGCTTCGAAGACTTCGTCGCAGCCGGCTTCTTCTTCGACGTTGAAGGGGAGCCCGGATCGCTAAGGCAAACGTTGCCTAGGGACGGAGCAGCGGCGACAGGAGCAACTGGAGGGGTTGAGGAAGACGCCCAGTTTCCCACAAGCCCGACAGCAAGGCCAGCACCACTGCCGTGCGCAGCTGATGCCGCTTTAGTCTTCGACAGCAACCCAGCGCTTGCTTCTCCCGCTCCTTTCCCCGCACCGCCGCCTGACGGGGTAGAGGCACCTCGCATTCCTAGGGCTCTGTTCCCGGTCGAGGCGACGTGCTCGTTCGGGGCACCACTTTTCTCCCCCGCGACCACTCCTTTCCCACCCGTTTTCCCCAGGCCTTGCAGCATGTCCCGCATCGAAGCAAACGCATCAGGTGGATCGATCGGAGCCGCTACGGAGGTCTTCGGGAGGGCCGACTGGTCGAGTACGATGACTTCTTCGACGAGCTTGGCGACGGGATGACGGCCACGCGCCGGTGGGGATCCAACCGGGCTGCCGACATGTCCTCCCACCGAAGAAGACGGAGGAACCGACCGCTCGTGACCTCGAGGCTCAGCCCCGCTGCGAACCCCTCCCACACCCTCCTGACGCGACCTCGTCGACGGGCCCGCCGAGCGCTGAAAACCTCTCGCCATCGCTTCGGTGAGGACTTCCAACCTGCCTGCTTCGGCTTCATGGTAGCCTTCCCTCACAATTTCCTTCAGCTCCTTCATGGTCTCAGGTGGGAGGGTGGAGCAGAACATGTCCTCCATGATGGCTTTCTCGAAACCCTTCAGTACCGCAGCAACCAGCCGCTCCTCGACCTGCTTGAGCTGCTTCTCGACGGCGTCCTCGCTCGCTTTTGTGATGGTGGCTGCCACCCCCTCGATGATCTTCCCGCTCATCTCGTCGATCTTCGCCCGCGCCCCTTCCAACAGGTTCCTCTCCGCCGTGACACCCTTCACAGCCTCGGCGCACTGCGACAGTGTGCTCTTCGACGACTCCGAAATCGTATTCCACGCCGTCCGAAAATCCGCAGCAAGCCTGTTGAATACTCCGGCTTGCTCAGTGTGTTTCGCAAAGACATCGGCGACGAGCTGCTTCTGCGACGCCTCGACCTTCTCGACCCTTTGCAGTAGCTCGACGACCTGGCCTCCGGGTGCAACGTTCGCCGTCGATTGGCCTGCCGTCGAAGGCCACCCGGTCGAAGGGCCCGCCTGTTCGCAGCCACTGGCCGTGCGGTGACTCCTTGTTACGGCGGCTTGTCGCTCATCTCCTCGACGATACTCCTCAGCAGCCTCCCCGTCCTCCAGCTTTTGCCCTCCCGACCCACCCGCGCAGCCGCAACCCTAAACTCCTGCTGCTGTGCAGCCGCCACGCCCTCCTGCTGCGGCCTGTTGGAATCACTGAACAGGAATGAATGAACTAGCATTGAAATGAGTACAAGTACCTAACCCTAGAATTGTGTACCCCCTATAGGCTAACCCACTGTAGCCTAAACTAACACAACATATATAATGTTTGACACACCCCCATAGGCAAAGTGGGGGAGAACTAGGGGTCACAAGACCAGTCAAGGCAAAGCAAGGCAAAACAAGCTCAGGGTGGATCTCAAGGATACCACACAAATTCCGAGCACAAGCAAGTGGTCACAAGACCAGTTCACATGCAGGTTTATAATAGAGCAAAAGATACAATGATCACAACCTAACAAGAGTAAACATGCAGGTATATATATAGAGATCACAGTACAAACAGACTCAAGAAGTAAGCAAGTGAGGTCCAGTAGGCACAAGGCCTAGAAGAGTGCAAAAGCGCTGATGGTCACAAGGCTGAAGCGCCTTGGTGAAAACATCAGCAGTGTTGGCCTCAGAGGCCACGTAACGCAGGCAAAGCTGACCACGCTGCTGCAGCTCTCGAGCAAGGAAGTAACGCAGAGCAATGTGCTTCAGTCTGTGCTCCTCACACAAGGCAATGGCTGCCTTGTTGTCGACGTACAGCACTGGAGGAGAACGAGGCTGCTCTCCAAGGTCGGTCAGCAAGTAGGTGAGCCAGCGTAGCTCCTGGGCCGCCATGGCTGTGGCGTAGATCTCAGCCTCACAACTGGAGCTGAGAACAGAAGAAGAGCGAGTAGAACGCCAAAAAACAGAACCAGAGCCAAGACTGAAGGAGTAACCCTGAGACGACCGCTGGGTAGCCTGGTCATCTGCCCAAGAAGCGTCTGAGTGCCCAGTGAGAACAACTGGGACTCGCCCTCCAAGCACTAGCCCCATGCCCGACGTACTGCACAAGTAGTGCAACACCCTCTTAGCTGCATCCATGTGCTCCTTCCAGTGACGGCCGGGAGCGACATAGCGTGCAAGAATGCTGAGAGGGTATGCAAGGTCTGGTCGTGTGCAGGTCATCAGGTACATGAGGCAACCCACAAGCTCTGGATACGGGCCACTCGGCTCTACGGACTCATCCGAAGGCAGAGCTGAGAGCGAGTGACCGGTAGGCAGAGGAGTGGGCTGAGGCGAGGAGTACGTGAAGCGGAAGTGCTGAAGGACCTGCTGCACCATGTGTGACTGAGTGAAGGTGATGGTGCGGCGTGCTCTGTCCCGGGTGATCCGCAAGCCAAGATAGCTTGTCAGTTCACCCAGGTCTATGCACGTGTGTCTCTTCTACAGCTCCGACTTCACGTGGGCGAGTGCCACAGTGTCAGCAGTAGCAAAGACCAAGTCGTCAACGTACACAAGGACGTAGAACGGCGGCAGTGAGGTGTCGGTGCGTAGAAACAACGACGGGTCAGCAGTAGAAGGCGCGAACCCAAGAGCCGCAAGCGTAGTCTTCAGTGTGTCGTGCCACTCACGAGGCGCCTGGCGGAGACCGTAGACTGGCCGTCGGAGGCTCCACTGGGTACTAGGAGGGAACGACCCAGTGAAGCCAGGTGGACGGCGCAGCCAGATCTCCTCGTGCAGGCTGCCCTGCAGGAAAGCAGTGCTGAAGTCAAGCGAGTGGAGCTCGTAGTCACGCTGAGCGGCGACGTGCAACAGAACCCGAAGAGTGGTCATCTTTGGGGTCAGGGAGAAGGTCTGGAAGAAGTCAACTCCCTCTCGCTGACTGAAGCCTCGTGCAACGTAACGCGCCTTGAAGACAGGCGGAGAGCCCGGCGGCCGCTTCACCCTGAAAATCCACATGCCACTGACGATGTTCGCCCCAGGTGGGGGAACCTCGTCGACGTAGGTGCCTGTGGACTTCCAGGAAGCCATCTCTGTGTCCATGACTGACTGCCACTGAGAGGATTAGGGACCGGCCATCGCCTCTGCGTAAGAGCGTGGGGTCGGGATGTCTGGTGCATCCGGGTCTCCCTCGGGGGCAACAAGCATGGACACGAGATGGGGCAAAGCGGCAGCAAAGCACTCAAACTCCTCCTGCCTGTCCTCAAGGACGTCAGTGCCAAGAGCACACTCACCCCCGACGGACGGAGGACAAACAGACTCAGACTCAGCAACTAGGCTAGCAGCGTAGTCTAGACGACAGCGAGCAGCAAAGTCGACAAGCTCAGCAACTAAGGCAGACGCAGCAGCGGACTCAAAGGAAGGGTCAGTGACAACAGTAGCCAGGAGACGCGTGACAGTAGGACTGATAGCAGAAAGAGAGTCAGACCCAGGGTCAGCAAGAGCAGGAAGAGAGGAAGCAGGAAGAGATGGCAGTGGGACACGCTGTGGAGCAGTGGACGGACGAAGCGCCATCCGGTGAGTGCCTGGGACAGCAAGAAGACGCTGACGCTGGATTTGACTACTAGAGAGAGCAGTGCGGACAGGCGACTCAGGACGAGACTCAGGCGGCGCAGGACGAGACGCAGGCTCACGCCGCTCAGTAAGACCTCCAGTCGGACCAGTGTAAGGAGCAGGACCAGGGAGAGAGGAGGCAGACGGTAACGCCGACAGCAGCTGGACAGGCGGAGGACACGCTAAGGAGGGAGGAGGAAAAGGAGGAGGAAGCTGACCAAGAACCTGCTGAAGGAGCGGAACAAAGTACGGCCGAGACCGAGCAGCGACACCAGAGTCAGCAGGGACACCCGCACCAGGGTCCGCAGCACCAGCAGCAGGTCCAGCGCTCACGTCCTCAGCACCAGCGGCAGCTCCAATGCCCGGGTCCTCAGCACCAGTAGCAGCTCCAACGCCCGGGTCCGCAGCGCCAGCGGCAGCTCCAACGCCTGGGTCCTCAGCACCAGCAGCAGCGCCAACGCCCGGGTCCTCAGCACCAGCAGCGGCTCCAACGCCCGGGTCCTCAGCACCAGCAGCAGCTCCAACGCCCGGGTCCTCAGCACCAGCAGCAGCTCCAACGCCCGGGTCCTCAGCACCAGCAGCAGCTCCAACAGCAGCGGGGTCCGGAACACGAGGCACGCCACTCTGAAGAGTGCAGCGCCGCTCGTACCACTCACGGATCCGCTCGCGAGAGGGGAGCTCCCGAACGGGAGAAGAAGCACTAGCACCAGTCCCAGTAGTACGTCCGGCTCGAGCGGTACCTCTCCGGAGGCTGCAGTACTCTAAGTACCACGCACGCAGCTGCTCCGAGGAGAGGGCTCCTCCAGGTGCAGGACTCCCAGGCCTAGTACCTCCAGACTCAGAACCCCCAGACTCCGGACTCCGCAGCTCAGCACCACGAGGCTCCACACCCCCAAGCTCAGCACCCTCTAGCTCCACACCCCCAGGCTCCACACCCCCAGGCTCCACACCCCCAGGCTCCACACCCCCAGGCTCAGCACCCCCAGCAGGACGAGAGTCGACAGCTACCTCAATAGGCTCAACCGGGTCTACCTGAGACACACCTGAGGGAGCGGCACCATGAGGGGGGAGGGGGTCTGCAACAGCAGCACCTGGCGCGAGGAAGAGAGGCCGGGGGGGGGGAGCGGGGCAGTGCGGTAGGGGAAGAGGCGATAGAAGGGGACGGACTCGTCAAAAGTGACATCCTGGGAGGGCAAGACTCGGCGCGAGGTGGCGTGGTAAAACTGCCAACCAGACGCGTCCGGGACAAAGCCGAGGAAGACGCAGGGAACAGCACGGGAGGAGAGCTTGTGCGCAGACGAATCGCGGACAAAAGCTCGAGACCCCCAGACCCGGAAACGCGCCGCATCGCCAACCTCCCCCGTCCACAGCAGCGTGGGCGAGGTCTGCGGCAAGGAGACACAGGGCCAGAGGTTGAGCTGATGCGCAGCGTACCGGACCGCAAACGGCCACAGAAAGTGGGGGGCAGCCGCATGGATCAAGGAGGTTCGAGCGACCTCCATGACCAGGCCAATGCGGCGCTCCGCAACCCCATTCTGCTGTGGAGAAGCCGGAAGCATGAACGACTGCTCAATGCCGTGCTCAGCACAGTAGGCTGCCAAGAGGTCGGAGGAGAACTCACCACCTCTGTCAGAGTGCAAGCGCAGGACAGGAAAGTCCGAGTGAAAACGCTCGCTGAGCTGGAGACGGGCTCTGCGGATCCAAGGGATCAAGACATCAGGGACCTCACCCTTGGTGCGCAAGGGGAAGACCGAGGTGTAGCGCGAGTAGTCGTCAACAACTATCAGGAAGTACCTCTCCTGACCCTGACCACGGACGCGGGCTGGGCCCCACACGTCCATGTGGAGTGTCTACAAGGGAGCAGTCGTCGGGGGGAACGAGGAGGAGTGAGGGGCGGCGCGCTGCCGTCCCTCGACACAGGGGAGACAGGTAGGAGCAGGCGAGGGTGGGAGGGCAGGAAGGACCCTGGGCAGGCCAGAGACAAGGTACCGGGAGTGCATGGCACGAAGCCGCTGCACAGACGGGTGGCCAAGGCGGTGGTGCTAGAGGATAGTCTCGTGTGCCAAAGAGCGACACGAGCAAGGGGCGGACAGCTGACCTGACTCAGACGCGGACACAGTCGCAGCAACCTA